TCTTGACCTGCATACAAATTTCTCAGGAGGCAAGTAAGGTGGTCTGGTATTCCCATCTCTTGAAGAATTTTCCACAGTTTATTGTGATCCACACAGTCAAAGGTTTTGGCATAGTCAATAAAGCAGAAATAGATGTTTTTCTGGAACTCTCTTGCTTTTTCTATGAGCCAATAGATGTTGGCAATTTGATCTCTGCTTCCTTTGCCTTTTCTAAATGTAGCTTGAACATCTGGAAGTTCTCAGTTCGTGTACTGTTGAAGCCTAGCATAGAGAATTTTGAGCATTACTTTTCTGGTGTGTGAGATGAGTGCAATTGTGCGGTAGTTTGAACATTCTTTGGCATTGACTTTCTTTGGGATTGTGATGAAAACTGACCTTTTCCAGTCCTGTGGCCCCTGCTGAGTTTTCCAAATTTGATGACCTAATGAGTACGGCACCGTCACAGCATGTCTATATTAATTACATGAACAATCATAATGCCAGCTGTTAATTTAAGACTAAATATTTCCCAGTGAACCTGAAATTCATTTAGCTTAGTTCTTTTGTATTTATAATTGTTTGATTTGTAAGCAATTACTTTTATTTAAGGAATTAAATAGAGTTCATTTACAAATTACCCTTAGCAATATTTCCAAAGATAACAATACATACTGAGACATATACATATATTCAGACAGATGGAGATTTCATAGTTTCTGTTTGAGAGTTAAAATATCTCTTGGTCTCTTTGCTTTTTCTCCCATCATTTTCCAAGAATGAACTTTCTTTTGTTAACCTTACCATACCACTTTTGACACTTACCTTGTGCAAACTTTACACCAGCTTTTTTCAGTTACACACTAGAAAGTGGAGATTTGGTCAGCTAAAATGTAATTTTGACATTCTAAGATAAACAATCATACTTGCAAATCACATTACTTTCTCTCCAATTTTAATTTTTCCTCAACCAATTTTAATGATGTACCTCATGGTAGGCAGGGAGGAGGATCCAGCCTCTCCAACCCAGCGTGGTACATTTTTTTTTCCTTTCTCAATTGGCACAGCTGCAAACATTCAATAACTTCTAAAGATTCAGCCTGCCTTAATTTAGGGTCCTAAGCAGTAAGCAAATCATCCCATCTGGGAATAAAAACTTGATTAGTCTTAACCTCTTATTTACTTTTTCATTTTTAAAAAAAGTAGCATTTGGTTTCATGAATCTGGCTCACAGCACCAATTTAGTTTTGCCAAAAGTTTTACTTTATTTTAGGTTTAAAGGATTCCTTAACAAAAGAAACCACTCATTACACAAAAATAAATGATTTCAACTTTTAATAGAAGATTATTTAACCTAATTTCAATACATGGTCCTTAGAAGAAAAAAAAGAAATAGAAAAAAAAATAGAGAGAAGTAACAGGTCATGGTGGAGAGGTGTGACAGAATGTGGCCCACTGGAAAAGAGAATGGCAAACCACTTCAGTATTCTTGCCTTGAGAACCCCATGAACAGTATCAAAGGGAAAAAAGATAGGACACTGAAAGATGAACTCCACAGGCCAGTAGGTGCCCAATATACTACTGGACATCACTGGAGAAATAACTCCAGAAAGAAAGAAGGGATGGAGTCAAAGCAAAAACAACACCCAGTTGTGGATGTGACTGGTGATAGAAGCAAGGTCCAATGCTGTAAAGAGCAATGTTTCATAGGAACCTGGAATGTTAGGTCCATGAATCAAGGCAAATTGGAGGTGGTCAGACAGGAGATGGCAAGAGTAAATGTTGACATTCTAGGAATCAGCGAACTAAAATGGAATGGAATGGGTGAATTTGACTCAGATGACCATTATATCTATTACTGTGGGCAAGAATCCCTTAGAAGAAATGGAGTAGCCATCAGAGTCAACAAAAGAGTCCGAAACGCAGTACTTGGGTGCAGTCTCAAAAATGACAGAATCATCTCTGTTTGTTTCCAAGGCAAACCATTCAATATCACGGTAATCCAAGCCTATGCTCTGACCAGTAATGCTGAAGAAACTGAAGTTGAACGGTTCTATGAAGACCTACAAGACCTTTTAGAACTAACACCCAAAAGAGATATCCTTTTCTTTATAGGAACTGGAATGCATAAGTAGGAAGTCAAGAAACGCCTGGAGCAATGGGCAAATTTGGCCTTGGATTACAGAATGAAGCAGGGCAAAGGCCGATACAGTTTGCCAAGAGAACGCACTGGTCATAGCAAACACCCTCTTCCAACAACACAAGAGAAGACTCTACACATGGACATCACCAGATGGTCAACACCGAAATCAGATTGATTATATTATTTGCAGCCAAAGATGGAGAAGCTCTATACAGTCAGAAAAAACAAGACCAGGAGCTGACTGTGGCTCAGTTCATGAACTCCTTATTTCCAAATTCAGACTTAAATTGAAGAAAGTGGGGGAAACCACTAAACCATTCAGGTATGACCTAAATCAAATCCCTTATGACTATACAGTGGAAGTGAGAAATAGATTTAAGGGACTAGATCTGATAGACAGAGTGCCTGATGAACTATGGATGGAGGTTCATGACATTGTACAGGAGACAGGGATCAAGACCATCCCCAAGAAAAAGAAATGCAAAAAAGCAAAATGGCTGTCTGAGGAGGCCTTACAAATAGCTGTGAAAAAAAAGAGAAGCAAAAACCAAAGGAGAAAAGGAAAGATATATCCATTTGAATGCAGATTTCCAAAGAATTGGAAGGAGAGATAAGAAAGCCTTACTCAGAGGTCAATGCAAAGAAATGAAGGAAAACAATAGAATGGAAAAGCCTAAAGATTTCTTCAAGAAAATTAGACATACCAAGCAAACATTTCATGCAAAGATGGACACAATAAAGAACAGAAATGGTATGGATCTCACAGAAGTAGAAGATATTAAGAAGTGGCAAGAATACACAGAAGAACTGTAAAAAAAAAAAAGATCTTCAAAACCCAGATAATCACAATGGTGTGAATACTCACCTAGAGCCAGGCATCCTGGAATATGAAGTCAAGTGAGCCTTAGGAAGTATCACTATGAACAAAGCTAAGGGAGGTGATGCAATTCCAGTTGAACTATTTCAAATCCTAAAGGATGATGCTGTGAAAGTGCTGCACTCAATATGTCAGCAAATCTGGAAAACTCAGCAGTGGCCACAGGACTGGAAATGGTCAATTTTCATTCCAATCCCAAAGAAAGGCAATGCCAAAGAATGCTCAAACTACTGCACAATAGCACTCATCTCACATGCTAGTTAAGTAATGCTCAAAATTTTCCAAGCCAGCTTCAGCAATACGTGAACCATAAGCTTCGAGATGTTCATGCTGGGTTTAGAAAAGGCAGAGAAACCAGAGATCAAATTGCTAACAATCATTGGATCATCATAAAAACAAGAGAACTCCAGAAAAACATCTATTTCTGCTTTATTGACTATGCCAAAACCTTTGACTATGTGGATCAAAATAAACTGTGGAAAATTCTTCAAGAGATGGGAATACTTGACCACCTGACCTGCCTCTTGAGAAACCTGTATGCAGGTCAGGAAGCAATAGTTAGAACTGGACATGGAACAACAGACTGTTTCCAAATAGGGAAAGGAGTACATCAAGGCTGTATATTGTCACCCTGCTTATATGCAGAGTACATCATGAGAAACACTGGGCTGGATGAAGCACAAGCTGGTATCAGATTGCTGGGAGAAATATCAATAACCTCAGATATGCAGATGACATTACCCTTATGGCAGAAAGTGAAGAACTAAAAAACCTCTTGATGAAAGTGAAAGAGGAGAGTGAAAAAGCTGGCTTAAAGCTCAACATTCAGAAAATTAAGATCATGGCCTCCAGTTGCATCGCTTCATGGCAAATAGATGGGGAAACAGTGGAAACAGTGGCTGACTTTATTTATTTATTTATTTTTAAAAATTAAGAGGATTTTTATTAATTTTTATATGTTCTTGGAGAAAACCATTCACATGTAAAAGCTTGACATTTGATATGAGATTTATTCACACTTTAACATAAATTCTTTGATCTGGGGGTCAGACATAATTTTTCATTTCAACAGGACTTTCACATGATTACAGTCACAAAATTGGCACTATTAAAAAATGAAATCAGAGCTAGACAAAGTATGCAGTTTTATGTCAATTTAAATCTCAACATGCACACCCCCCTCCCCCCATTCATGATCTTGGAAGAATCTGCTGTGAGCTTACTAAAATGCAGGGCACAGATGACTGTTTACAAAATAAAACCTCTTTTCCTAGTGCTACTTGTTTTGTTGTAGAAAAATATTACAAATAAAAATTAGTGCTATTCAAGGTGTTCATTTCAAAGTCACATATGATACACAGGTTCAAGCCATCTTTTCCTCGTGTATAAAGATATCACAATACATAAAGTGGAGACTGAATTACTGATCAACCACTTCCCCCTCAGTAATGACACAGTTTACTATGTTGACATTAAAAATGAGAGTGAAGCAAAACATTTCCAGGTATTGAATACACTTATAATTTGTTCCTAGCCTGAAACTCAGAAAAAAAATGCTACAGAAACATGATGAAATTTATATTTCTTCCTGATACAAGAAATCTGTCTAAAAAATCTGTAATTATAAAACAGATTTGCTCTTTATAAAGAAATGGCTAACTTTTTTTTCCCATGGTTAGATTCTTACTTGGAGATGACTCCAATTTTCAACTGGGCTCTCTTTTCCTGGGGGGGTGGGGAGAGGTGGCTTGGTGTTAATATTGTACGGTACATTCGACAAACCTAGGGATATTTCAGAGGACTACAGCGCACTTTTACAATCAGCCGAACTGTAACAGTTTCCTGTCCTGTGATTACGTAAATTTTAAAGAAAAGAGGTCTTCTACAAGCTATACACAGCAGTTGACACTTCAGTGTTTCTCTCTCACTGTAACACAGTTCAAGTTGATTGATGACAAGCACATGTCACCTAAACTTCTGTAGGCACATCTCCAGTCCGTCGCTTCACTGGAGGGGCGAGGTCTTCTGTGGGACCATGATTCTGGATTCCATTTCCTGAATAAGTAGGACTGTATAATATACTAGTTCTTCCCAGCCATGTTTATGCCATGCTGCATTCCGTATATCTTCCCTGGTCTGAAGATCCTTGTAAGCCCAAAGATGGTGCACCATATAGAGCTGCCCAATCTGGGAGAAGAACCCTCCAACTGCTTCATTACCATCCTGTCTGAAGCGAATGGCACGAGCCCAGTAATTGCCCCATTCAATCATAGTTCCTGGTCGGAGCTGGTAGGATCTGAGTTCGTATACGTTCGGTCCTGACCGTGGGATGGGTTCATTCCAGAAACTGAACTCCAACAGCAGCTGATTCTTTCTCGAGAGAAGCATGTTGCTTCTTGCCTTACGGAATTCTGAAAATTCCTGATTTTCTTTGAGTTTACTCATCACCTCTGTGAGGGCTGGATAGCCTCCGTCATACCGCCAAAGGTGAACAGCTTGATCCTGCTCGCCATACCACGTGTTCCAAGTCCCCACCAAAGTACAAGGGTAATGTTTATCTTCATGAATCTTTGGCAACACCTCTCGACAAATTTTGTTGTATGCTTCTAGGCATTCCGGTTTAACATTGTGAAACTGTAATTTGTACAGACTGCTGGTTTCCTTTTTGGCTAGGAGATTAGAGTGAGCATCTTTCCTTGGGTCAACTTTCCGGACAAACAAGGATTTTAACCAGCTGTCCTCTCGAGGTCTGTTATTGGAAGATGTCAATTTCCGGAGCCCGGGCAGGAGGCTGCCGGGGCTGGCCCGCCGCAGGAAGCCGCTGGCTGAGGCCGCTCCGCCGGCGCGCAGCGCTCGCGCCGCCATCTTGCCCCGGCGCTCCTCTCCCACCGCCCGGGCCGCCGCTGACGCCGCCGCCGCCGCCTCTGCCGCCACGGCCGCCGCCGCTGACTTTATTTTTATGGGCTCCAAAATCACTGCAGATGGTGACTGCAGCCATGAAATTAAAAGACGCTTACTCCTTGGAAGGAAAGTTATGACCAGCCTAGATAGCATATTAAAAAGCAGAGACATTACTTTGTCAACAAAGGCCCGTCTAGTCAAGGCTATGGTTTTTCCAGTGGTCATGTATGGATGTGAGAGTTGGACTATAAAGAAGCTGAGTGCCGAAGAATTGATGCTTTTGAACTGTGGTGTTGGAGAAGACTCTTGAGAGTCCCTTGGACTACAAGGAGATCCAACCAGTCCATCCTAAAGGAGATCAGTCCTGGATGTTTATTGAAAGGACTGATGCTGAAGCTGAAACTCCAATACTTTGGCCACCTAATGTGAAGAGCTGACTCATTAGAAAAGACCCTGATGCTGGGAGAGGTTGAAGGCATGGAGAAGAGGAGAGGAGAAGGGAATGACAGAGGATGAGATGGTTAGATGGTGTCACCATCTCAATGAACATGAGTTTGGGTAAACTCTGGGAATTGGTGATGGACACGGAGGCCTGACATGCTGCGGTTCTCGGGGTCGCAAAGACTTGGACATGACTGAGCAACTGAACTGAACTGAACAGTGTATTCATCACCAAATTGAGTCAACACCTACATCCAGACTTGTACAGCACTGGGAAGTTCCACATTAACAGCAATCTAGAGTCTTTACTGAGAAAGGGGTCCAAGTAGTGTGTCTACTCCATGGATGAGATGTCAAATTTCAGTTTGGGGGAGGCTCCAATTTATAATCCCAGACTACACATTGTTATCATCATCAGTTTGCTTACAAAAATGCAGCTATGGTTTTACTCAAACTTTTACAATGCTGTTTGTTTCACTTGTGAGTCATAAGACTTCTTAGATCCCAGGAGATTGGCTAGGCCTCCAGGGTCTGAAGAATTCCAAGACGTACTCCCTTTCTTATCTGAAGAACTGCCTGACTTGATGCACTTGCAGACAGGCATAGACTGTGGGCAGTGTCCAGGCAGGTTACAGGTCTGCTCTTCCACCTCTGAAAGCTGAACAATACTTCTTCTTTTTGAATTTCACTAGCAATTGGTTGGAGTGAAGGGGAGAGATGAGTTAAGGCTAATATCTAGAATTTAGTTTTGGAGAACTGAGGGACATATGGTGGTGCATTTAATGAGTTGAGAGGATTAGAGAGCTTTTTTGAAGAGACAGTGATGTTAAATTTTGGACATGTGAATTTTGCTGTTGTTCAGCCACTCAGTCATGTCCAACTCTTTGTGACCTCATGGACTGCAGCACACCAGGTTTCCGTGTCCTTTGCCATCTCTTGGAATTGGCTCAAACTCATGTCCATCGAGTTGGTAATTACATCCAAACATCTCGTGCTCTTTTGTCCCCTTCTCTTCCTGCCTTCAATATTTCCCAGCTCAGGGTCTTTCCTAGTGAGTCAGCTCTTCTCATCTGGTGGCCAAAGTTTTGGAGCTTCAGCTTCAGCATTAATCCTTCCAATGAATCTTCAGTGTTTATTTCCTTTAGGATGGACTGGTTTGATCTCCATGCAGTCTAACGAGCTCTAAAGAGTCTTCTCCAACACCACAGTTTGAAAGCATCAATTCTTTGACACTCAGCTTTCTGTATGGCCCAACTCTCACATCTGTACATGAGTGCTGGAAAACCATAGCTTTGACTAGATGGACCTTTGTCAGAAAAGTAATGTCTCTGCTTTTTAATATGTTGTCTAGGTTTGTCATAGCTTTTCTTCCAAGGAGCAAGCATCTTTTAATTTCATGGCTGCCATTACCATCCACAGTGATTTTGGAGCCCAAGAAAATAAAGTCTGTCACTGCTGCTTCTATTGTTTCCCCATCTATTTGCCATGAAGTGATCATACCAGATGCCATGATCCTCATTTTTTGAATGTTGAGTTTTAAGCCAGCTTTTTCACTTTTCACTTTTACTTTTATCAAGAGACTCTTTAGTTCCTCTTCACTTTATGTCATAAGGGTGGTGTCATCTGCACACCTGAGGTTATTGATATTTCTCCCAGCAATTTTGATTCCAGCTTGTGCTTCTTCTAGCCCAGTGTTTCTCATGATGTACTCTGCATATAAATTAAATAAGCAGGGTGATAATATACTGTCTTGACATACTCCTTTTCCTATTTGGAACCAGTTTGTTGTTCCATGTCCAGTTCTAACTGTTGCTTCCTGACCTGCATACAGGTTTCTCAAGAGGCAGGTAAAGTGATCTGGTATTCCCATCTCTTGAAGAATTTTCCACAGTTTGTTGTGATCCACACAGTCAAAGGCTTTGGCATAGTCAATAAAGCAGAAATAGATGTTTTTCTGGAACTCTCTTGCTTTTTCTATGATCCAGTGGGTGTTGGCAGTTTGATCTCTGGTTGTTCTACCTTTTCTAAATCCAACTTGTACATCTAGAACTTCTCAGTTCATGTACTGTTGAAGCCTAGCTTGAAGGATTTTGAGCATGACCTCACTAGCACATGAAATGAGTGCAATGGTGCAGTAGTATGGACATTCTTTCTTTGGGACTGGAATGAAAACTGACCTTTTCCAGCCTCGTGGCCACTGCTGAGTTTTCCAAACTTGTTGGTATATTGAATGTAGCACTTTCACAGCATCATCTTTTAGGATTTGAAATAGCTCAGCTGGAATTCCATCACCTCCACTAGCTTTGTTTGTAGTGGTGCTTCCTAAGGCCCACTTGACTTTGCACTCCATGATGTCTAACTCTGGGTGAGTGATCACATTATCATGGTTATCTGGGTCATTAAGATCTTTTTTGTACAGTTCTGTTTATTCTTGCCATCTCTTCTTAATATGTTGTGCTTCTGTTAGGTCCATTCCATTTCTGAATTTTGTAGGGTATGGAAAATATAGGCTTGGCACGGTAGATCTGGAAATTATGCTGGTTTGCTTTAGCAGAAATATTGAATACCAGCAATAGTATATGTATTTACATATTAATTCAGTAATCTGGGGGAAGAATTCTCTGCTTCTTTGATCATTTAGACCTCAGAAGACCTTGACAGATCAGGTAACAGCAGACTTCATGGTCCTTCCTGTCTGTTTGTTGAGGGCTCCCCAGCTTGAGTGCTACACAGCTGTCCATCTAGGTCTTCCCATTGATTACTTCATTCTTCAATACCAGAATAATGCAGGTCACTGCTCCAGTCTTATGAGGTGTTCAACTTTGGGTGCCTGCATTCTTCAAGATTAACTATATTCTTCTGAATAGTCAAAGAAGATGTCACAATTTTTTTTAAGGAAATGTCAGTTATATAAAAAAGTGGGATAAAAAAGTTCTAGTTATTTCTAGCCAATTATTTTAAATGTCAAAGATGTATAAATCCTCATGATATCACAATTCTTAGAACTAGAATGGATTTTACAATAATTTCCTACAGATTTTAGAGCCTACAATTTGCAAACTAGCCTCTCAGATACTTGCCACAACTATATCAAGAATATGAATCTCTTGCTCCTGAATAAGATAGGTCTGATGTCTATTATAATTGCCTTAACATACTCATCTCATTCCTCCCTTATTTTATACCAGCTATATGGTTTGGGGACTGACCCCATCTTCAGAGATGGGTCTAGATTAATGCTAATCAGTGATTATTGTAGTAATTGATTCAAGGGTTAGCAGGCTTAGACTAATCAAGAAATTACAATATTCCCTTAGCCATCTAAATTGATTCAAGAATGGTCACATGGGCATAAGATTCATTCATGGCCAATAAGAAGCAGGAAAATTTTTCTGGGGATTTCTGGGAAAGAGGGTTTCCCTGGTGACTCGGCTGGTAAAGAATCTGCCTTCAATGTGGGAGACCTGGGTTCTCTCCCTGGGTTGGGAAGATCCCCTGGAGAAGGGAAAGTCTAACCACTCCAGGATCCTGGCTGGAGAATTCCATGGACTGTATAGTCCGTGGGATCTGAAAGAGTCAGACACAACTGAGTGACTTTCACTTCACTTCACTCATGTCTTACTCCAAGTTGTAAACAATAGAGCTCATGATCATAGGTTCTTCTGCATTCTTAAAATTTTCTATTAGCTTGATCCTTGATTTAATTTGTTTCTAGACTATAAATTCATGTCTTTCTAATTCTCATGGATTTGAGGCATACAGTGTTTGATTCTGTATCTAAGGCAGGAAACAGCTGGGCAAACTCAAACAATAAAAGCAAGACCTTAATGAAGAGACTGTTTACAAGGTTTGGGTACAGGAGTAATAATGTTTCAATACCTTAGAACTACTATAGCAGGAAGCCCTTACCTCTCCTAGCCCTGAAAGGATAGGAAGGGCTCAATTACCAAAATCTAGAGAGATTTAATGTAGGTGAGGCCACCAGAAAGGAGCTATGGCCTTTGGGTCAATAAGGGAACACAGTTGGCATGTGCAACCCAGACAGGAGGGAACTGGAAGAATAAACAGTCTAACTCATTCTCTATCTTCTCTTTTGATCTGCTGGTGCCATCATGCCTTCAACCCAACCAGAGGTTAGAGGTCAAGGGATCCAAGTTTACACAATCTATAAAGGTCAGCTTATTAGAGCCCAGAGTACAGAAGGATTGTTGTTCTTCAGTCATTTAGTCGTGTCTGACTCTGCGATCCCATAGACTGCAGCACGCCAGGCTTCCCTGTCCTTCACCATCTCCTGAGCTTGCTCAAACTCATGTCCATTGAATCAGTGATACCATCCAAGCATCTCATCCTCTGCCATCCCCTTCTCCTTCTGTCTTCAACCTTTCCCAGTCAGGGTCTTTTCCAGCAAGTTGGCTCTTTGAATCAGGTGGCTAAATATTGGAGCTTCAGCATCAGTTCTTCCAATGAATATTCAGGCCTGAGTTCCTTTAGGATTGACTGGTTTGATCTCCTTGTAGTCCAAA